ATGGACAGCTGTTTTCCCTTCATAGTCAACATTTTTATATGCAGGAGCAGAATTTAAAATTATGACTCCAACTGTGTAGGTGATTTATTATAAATCTCTTTCTATCCGCTTGTATTCTGTCCAGATGTGTCATTTGTTCATCTTTAAAGCAGTTTTCCCCTGTGACCTGGAAAAATAAACAAACTTACTTTGTGCTTGCATTTCTTATGTTTCTTGTTTTGTGTTTTTTTGTGTTTTTTTGTGTTTTTTTTTTTTATTACCCAACAGTCATCTAAGAGGGTTTGCACTCAAAGCAATGTTAAAATCAATTTTAAGTATGTCATTTCACTGCATTATAGATAGCACAGCCTCCTGAGAATGCTTATTTGTGGGTGTCTTCAGCAGCTTTCTGAATTCGGTCCTGTAACAGCAAACTTCACCCTAAATCCCAAACAGTAAAAGGGTTTCAATATGGAGGTGAATTATGCTTTCCTGAGCAAGGAGACTTAAAGAGCAAAAGAGTGAAATTAAGGTAGGGTTTCAATAATCTTCTTTTGTGGTAGTGGTCACTCTGAGTGACCACGATAAGTGTCATCATTGAATCATTAAATTTAGTGCCAGAGCTCAGAGCCTAGAGACTCTGAAAAGTTTAGGGGATCCCAAGAGGGACAACTGGAGTTCCTTTGACCACGTTTGGATCCTGAACTCCAAACCTTACGTTGTTTATCTGAGGCTGCACTGTGTTCTTAAACCCATCACTTCTGGTTAGTCAGCCCCCTCCAAACGTCAAATGCTCATTTTTATCTGTCAAAAGGCTTAAGTGAGGTGAGGCAGGGGTGCACTTCTATTCAGGGTATGTGTTCATATCTGTGTACAGCTTTTTGGTGATATTTAAAGAAAAAAAAAAAAACGGAAAAAAAAAACAAACCACCTAAACAAACCCAAAAAATCAAGAACAAAATAAAAAATCATTACATCTGTCATGGAGGTGTTTCTTTTGCCATCATGTTGATGCAAGTTTTCAATTTTTAATTTTGCACAAATGGCAGTACTTCCCTTCTGGTTTGGGGTTTTTTGTTTTGTTTTGTTTTTTGTTTGGTTGGGTTTTTTTCTAATGTAGCCAATTAGCTAAGTAGCTAAATGTGGTTTCTGACATATGCTTATTTCAACCATATTTGCAGTTTAAAAAAATATTTCCAAAACACAAGAGTTTAGGGAAAATAGACTTAACCAGGAAGCTGTATGGATACAAATTTTTCAAGGTTATGTTAGCAAAAGCAAAATATTGATCTACGTGGCTTGGAACTAAATGATGCAGGATTTACTTTAAAGACAGAAAATCACAGGACTTTTTCTCAGCAGCTTTGTCAGAGGGTATGTATTGTGAATAAGGTTGAGACTTCCATATGCGCTTAGAAGGTGCTGTGGTACCATAATAAAAGGTATTCCGTGTAAATTTTGGAAGAAGGGGAAATATACCCTGAAGTAATTGAGGTTAAAAGCTGTTGTAAGGAGAAAAATTTTAGTCTTGGGTGTGTGTTTTAGTTATAGTTGTCTGCAAATAGCTGATGCAATGCAGCAAGATGAGGGTAATGATTTTTTTTTTTTTAAACTGAGTTCCTAAGTTTAAAATAGAAAATGCCACTCTGGCACAAAACAGTAGTGCTTGTAAATAACATGTTTGTGTGATCAGCTTGGTATGCAGAAGGGAGATTTTCTGTGTCTCAAAATTCGGGGAGAAGATGAATTTTCTGCTCGTGCCTATGCTGGTTGTTACAAATGTTCAGCACAGATACAGAAGCATGAGTAGAATAACATGAAAATGTGGCACAACAAGAGGAAAGGAGTGAGGAAAAAACCAAGTCAGTGCCTTGACAGAAGAAAACAGATGACAGAATCTCTTAAGTAAATGTGTATAATTGTCTGTAGTCTGTAATAACTGGCATCAATAAAGGGTTTTTTAATACATATCCATTGCTACATAAGATGGTGGAGAACAAATTTGAGGTGTGTATGAGTTATGGGCATGGTCTGACTCGAGTCAGGTTGAGTCTTGGGCAGTGGGACTTGGGGAGGTTTCTCTCTTCTGGAGTGCAAGGCAGCATGTTTGGCTTTCAAGAGTCCTGTGTGTGCAGTAGAGAAGAGGCAGGGAGAGACTGAAAAAAGAAAGGAGTCTGCAGAAGCATGGGCTGGGAGGCACCTAGTGACAGGGAGCATCCTGAGCCACAGAGGAGAGATGGGGAGATGGAGGAGGGTTGATTAGCTCAGGGAGCCACTGAGAATTTGTCTCCTGAAAGAGAGTAAGGGATTCTCCCCCACATAGAGGAAGACTATTGCTTCTCAAGTCTTTTATCTAGTTTTCTTGCTTGACATTTGTTTCCCCTTATTAGAGAAGACATTTTGGTTCAATTTACTTTGGTCTAATAAAAGGCTATTTTTGTGCTCCAGTGTCTTTGTGGTGTATGCATGTTAAACAATGAGGGCCAGAGGGATTGTTTTGAATAATTTTAGCTAAAGACTGTAGCTGACTTGATTCACAAAAATGTTACGATTTGTGATAGAATAAATAATGTTATGTGTCAGGAAATAAACATTAAAAAAATAGACTCTGGTTTTCTCTTCAACAAGAAAGTGATCTGTAGGACCTTAAAATTTACAACAAATTGAGAGAAAAGAGAAAGCATTGTAGATAGTGGTAAAAAAGTCTAGTTGTTTTTGTACAAGTAGGGAAACATTCCAGTCAAACACAATAAATTTCATAGACTCATGACAATAAGCAAAATCTTACAAGGATAAAAAGAAAACAAACAGCTGCAAGACCATCTTCACAAACTGGAAAACAGTATTCTCTATAATCCCCCTGCTCTCGCAGACTTTGGCTTTAAAGTTCAGACAGCTGTAAGCTGAGACTTAGATAATGTCATTTTGCTTCAGTTTCTCTGGAAGACAGTGGCAAAAAATCCCAAGAGAATAGGGGTCTTCAAAATTGAGTCCAGGAAGGATGTGGTAAAAACAGCACCTTGCAGCAGCAATCAGTACAGGGAGCAGACAGAAGTGCTGACGTATGGTCCTATCTTACTACACAAGAATTATATGTGCAGTGGAGGAGACATTTTCTTTCAACTGCTCAAGAAGTTGGGAGGCTCTGGAAAAAATGAGAGGTCCTGTCTCCCAGCATTCACAGTGATGGGAGACTTCTTTCTGTCAGAGGAATGAGAGAAGTGAGGATATGGTTGTAGAAGACAGCTGAGGAAAGTATTTGTTTCTTCAGAGTTGTCTTGTAAAAAAACCATGCATAGCTCTTGATATCAAGATAATAATCACTTGCAACAAAAAACACTATTCACCTTTTGATTTTTTGAGCATTCCCTCAATACCAGGACACAAATTTAAGTCTTACATTTTCTTACTGATTTCCAGCATAAGTGGAGATAGAACCTGCATTGCTTGCTATGAGGAAGTATGAGAACATTAGATTCTCCAGGTACTCCTCAGCATTAGGTGCTGGTATTCCAGCTACAATTACAAAGTTGTTCTGTGAGTGAATGTGATACAGTCACTCCACTTTTAAGAGAATCTCTTTAATGAGGAAACTGTCGCACATTCAAACTTCTATTACAGATCTAGTAATTATGGCTGGTACCAGTCACAGCCACTATAATTAATATTATGACTGACAGTTATAATCTTACTTGCATTCCCTTGCAACATTTGAAAAATTGTCTTCGACCAATGTCCTCTTAATTTATTTTTTTCTTTGTCTGTGGATAAATTATTTTTTAAATAACTGGGGGGGAAGTAATTTTTGTTTAATTTCATGTTGAATAATGTGAGAAATTCCTTTCTCATGTTACAAGTTTTCCCTCTAGCCCCACCTGGAAGTTTTTCAAGGGAGAGTTTTATAGTGTAGTCTGCTAACTGGATGGCAGTGTCCCTAGGAGCTGCTGACTGGTCTTTGAGATTATTCCCAGACAGCACGTGAATAGACAGGAATAGTTGGTGAGTCTAATTGCAGATGCCTGCAAGAAGAAGCTGTTTATTCTACAGCTTCTCTGAAATAACTGCAACTGCTTGCATTTGTTCTCTGGGAATCCTGGCAGTCAATAGCGGGAGACTGATCTGTTGTGAATAAAATATCTTCCCCCTCTCCTCTTTGTATCCTTATTTAGGCTGTCCCTACAGAGCCAGCCCAGGGCATGTTAGATGCTAAATGTACTTTATGTAGGGAGTTGCCCATTTATCCTTTGGCTAGAGCTGCCTCTGTACCCAAAACCCTGTGCCTGATGTGTCATGTACGTGCCTCGGGTTGGGAGGGCACAGTAGCAGTAGTGGACTATTGCGTCATGTGAGCTTATGGAAATAAAATTTATGACATTGTATCCAAATAACCTTCCATACAGGCTAAATGTGGGCCTATAGAATTGGTATGGAAGAGGCAAGCAGTTCAATATGGCTTTTGTACATACACCAGGGTCAAGTTAGGAACCACTGGAAACGAGATTGTGAGATCCTGGTTTGGCAGCTTAATGCAGAACAGCACAATGAGACCTGTCCTTGGTGTGCAGTGAAAAGCTTTAGACCATGTTCTGTTTTAGTTAAGTAACCACTACTGGTTGTAGGAACTAACAGTATCTGTCAAGTTCTTCCTGTGTTATCCAGTTATCCCTTAGAATAAAGCATGTCATTCCCCTGTCAGAGCTTCATCATACATGTAGTCACAGATATATTCAGCTACTCATTTGTTTTTCTAAAATAGTGTTTTCTGTTTGTCAACAGTTTTCACCTAATGTAGCAGCTCATGGATGAAAGTCTGTATAACAAAGCTTAAAATGTTCTCATTTATTTAGCTTAATAAATACAAAAGGACATAATCCTATCAAATCTTATCATTTATTAGATGGGTGTCACCATAAAACCCCCTTATGTTTAGGTGCTGTACACCTCTCTTAGTTAAACCACATCAAGCTTCATCCTGTGTTCCTTTAGCACCTTTGAACCATTGCTCTTTGTTTGTCTTTTAGGCACACCACTTCTAGTACGAAGGAGCAGTGATCCAGCTCTGGGCCCACCTGCTGACTTCCAACCAAGTGCTTCTCATCCCAGTGACTACAGTCTCAAGCATGTTGTGGCAGTAGGTGTCATGTAACTCACCTTTTTCTTAAGAGCAAAGATTGTTCTTACCTGTTGGTATATAGCAGCTTTATAAGCTATGTATGAATTTGAGTCTAAGACAAAGACCACCATACTCATTTTCTTTAAAGGAGAGAATTTCCTCTCAACAAAATGGTGTTTTTAGATGATACAGCCAATTAACAGTGGTTCTCTTTATTTAAAAAAAAAAAGATTTCCATAAAGCTCAATGGTGACATAAGGCACTGGAATATGAAGAGAACCTGTAGCAATTTTTTATTTGTTCAGTATCCTGTTCAATTTGCCATTGCTTAGCAGAAAAAATGTACTTCCACTTCAATATGCTTCACAGGCCTTGCACATTTTTTCAGTTCCCTTTTTTTTAAAAAAGGTATTTCTGTCTTCCTTTGGCACTCTGCTACTGGCCTCTAAGGTCTCTTATTTCTCTTCTGTTTTACAACCTGACTTGCCCCTTTTGAGGAGAAATTTGTTTTCAACCATAGTTATTATTAAATATTAGTGCAAAGAAAAATATTAGTGAGGATACAGTAGCTTTTAATCAGATGATCTGATACTATTTTATGCTGTCTTCAAATTTTTTAAAGTGATATGGTTTTGGTCACACTTCAGCCACATTTTTTAATTTGCAACTTTAAAACATGAAGCTTTGTGCCTGTGTGTGGGGATGGTGTTCCTATATTATTTATAAAATGAAATTATTTAGAGTCTCTGAGTGTTATCTGGGATACAGAAGTGTACCAAGACTTGATGTTTGCCTAGAAGGCTCTGGTGGGTCTGCTTCTGCACTATTTTATGCTAAATAACTTCTGACTTAAATGACGGTGCAGTTGTGCCTGCTTTCATTTCCTTGTGAACTTCATTCATTTCACCTTTAGCTTCCCCATGCAGTGTTGTGATTCATTCCCTGTCCCCAGTTGTGTAAACCAATCTATCTTTTTTTTGTTTAAAAACAAAATCCATTCAGAAACCCCTAGCCTCTTTGTTTGGCGTTGAGGGTTATTTCAGCCTAGGTCACAACTAGTTTATAGCAAGATTCCACAAATGGCTGTGTTGGCTCTTGGGGACCACGAGGAAAGAACTGAGATTCAGCAATACATGCTGGAGGTAGGAACCTATTCAGCTGAAGATCTTGTATTTCAGACCATGCTTCCAGTTAAGTTCATGTGAATGAGGGAAGTAAATAGAAAGTCAGGTGACTTGCATGCAGATGATGTTTTATGGACCTCAATTCTGAAGGCCAGCACAGGATTTTAGTTGTTGATTGTTTCTCTTTGCATGGCCAGATTTGTGGGCATCTGAATATTTAGAGTGCATCTTATTTTTCAGTGGCTTGTGTTATTTGCTAAGTGGTACAATTTAAAAAGTACTGATGACTCTTCAAGTACATTATGGTGCTACAGGAAGCTGAACTTTGACAAAGTCCTGTGTCATTTGTCAGACTTGTTCATGGTGAGAGGTTTTTCTTGATGTGTGATGCAAGCACTTACATATTAATGAAATACTGACTTAGTCTGATAAATGAAAGTGTGAAGAAGAATTCTTGCTTAACAACACAGATCTTAGTCTCTTTGCAAAGTTGATAAATGTGTCAAGTAAGTGATTATGTCAGCATGTAATGCTGACTTCTGGTATTTTATAACCACAAAAATGTTTGAAAAAATTAGTGAAATTTGTTGCATTTCAGGATATGTTTCAAATGCTTAATTTTTTACCATCAAGGAGAAAAAGATACGTTTTTGATAATTTATTTTTTTAAGTACTAGTGGTGACAAGTACATTTTAGGCTATTATTTGAGGACCACAATTAAATTTGGAAGCTATAACCTCACGTTTCACTGACTTGTATCTGTACACAAGAATCCTCCAGGCCTAAAGGAATTCACTATGCCTAAAATACAGAGCATCCTTCTGCCAGCTATAAGAGTGATAGTCAAAGCTGGACAGAAAACAACAGTGGAGAAGGCTCTCAGATTTTTATAAATATTATGAAACTTGGGGGGGAAAAAGGCCCAGAAGGTTGAAAGTTTTTATTGTTAAAGTGAAAATCTGTTACAGCAAAATACATTACACCAGCGCTTATTTTTGCGACAGTACCATTTCTAAAATTCTCATCATCAATCATACTGAAATATGCTTTGGCATAATGTTTTGGGAAGCCTAGAAAGCTTAAATAACATAGGTTAAATTACTTACAGATTGTTTTAAAACACGGTAAGAATTTATATTTGACGTGAAAAAACATGGCACGAACAACTGAATATAGCTATGCTCTTTCATGCAAGTGCTAAAGCAGTATTTAGAGAAAATTCATTTATTCTGTGTATTGCTGCTGAAAATTTAAAATGTTCCCACAAACACTTTTTTTCACATTAAACTGTTTCCTATGCAAGTTAGAAAAAAACAGAACTATTGGTAGATGAAAAAATTTTCAGTGTATGTAGTAAAAATTAAGTCTCTGTATTTATGCCACAATTATCTTAGCAATCATTTTGTAATTGAAACTGACTTCCATAATTAGCTTAATTGTTCTGGCATTTCTGGCACTTCTGGCATTTTGGTGTTTGGCACATGTAGAACGAGCAAGCAATTTAAAAAGTTCTATGTGGAAATATTCAGTTTCACTATATGCTGTCTTATCAATACAGCAGTAGTTGATCAGAGTTTTGAGAGGTGATTATCATCTGAATCTCTGAAGACAGCACTGATTTATCTCTGAAAGAGTGAAGGACAGAGGTACAATAAGTAATGCATAAAATAAAAGAGCAAACATGTAGTAATAAGAGAAGAAAATTGCTATCAAGGTGAACTGGATGAACCATTTGAGCAGTTCACAGTATTTATAGAATCTAAGCAGAGCATACATTCTGGTTTTTAGATGTCCTGTTCATTCAAAGGAATAATTTTTTTTTTACATGCCATATGATGATTGCCAAAATTACAAAGCTTGTTTTTGAGAGAGCAGGTAGTTTGAGATTAATTTGAGCTTATTCTTTGATATTTTCTTTGAGACTTATTTTGTCTTAGCTGTTGTTTTAGTCTCAATTAACAAAATACTTCTAGATCAATCAAAAACTGATAGTGAAGTCCAGCATCTGTTCTCTCAGACTGAAAGTCATTTAACAGATGGTACAAAATTTGAGTTTCTTTTTTCATCCAGACCTCCCCTTCCTTATCATGATAGCTGCCATGGAAAAGTTTAGAGACTATAATCAAGAAAAAATACGGATAATAACTATCTGAATTTGTTATTGAGGAAAAGGTATTTGTTAGTGAATTTGTTAATTTATGAAGGCAACTGTTAAGCTCTTCTCTCTAGTTAAAATCATGGGGTCCTTACCAGGCTTTCAGAAATGGAAGCTTTCCTTCCTAGGTCTCCAGAGTGGAACTCAGGGAAGCATAATTAGCTTAATGCATTTTTCTGAAAAATTTGGTGGCCATAGCTTTGCTGCAGCAATGGCCAAGTTCTGATCCAGCTGCTTTTTGGCTTTGAATGGCCTGCCTTCAGAAAGTGGGGTTAGCAATGGGCACAAAGTCTTCTGCCAGGGATCTTTCCTGAAGTAAGGCCATTCTGCATGACTGAAATCTTTCAGAGATAGGGAGCATTCTTTGGCACTTCATACTTGCTCAACACTTGTTCCTCGCTTGCAGAGAGGAGCTGCAGCTTCAGCTTCTCTGCACAAACTCGAAGTTCCTAGCTAGATCCCTCTACTCAAGTATCTCTCTGGTAAAGATGAGAGGAAGCGAGGCAGAAAGCCCAAATTGTGAGGTCTATTGGTTTGGTTTTTTCAACTTTTTGGGAGCAGAATACATTTTGCTGCTTTCATTCAATCTAGTTCATCCAGGTAGTAATTACTATGGTATGATTAAAGGACTTGAACTTTCTTTCCTGGAGCTAGTTTTTCTGCTTATGTCTTTTTGCCTAGGGACAGACTTGACTACAATCTAAAGACTTGGCCTATCAAGAGGTTTAGATGGAGGATTGTGGTCCTATTTAATTTGGTGGAATTTTTTGCATTAATTCTGGTGGGACTGAGGTTTCACCCCATTGTTATCTTGTTGATTAGTATAGGAATGCTACAACCTGTATGACTTTCTTTTTTATATATAGTTGCAAGTTTCCTCAATAAATACTTAGGTTAACTTGGAGTTAATCAATGGAAATGGCTGATTAAATTGCAGTTATCCATATATAAAGATACAATGAGATGCTGGATCAATTGAAGAGCTGCTTCAGTGGCTCAATACAATTTCAAATTTTATCTAGATGTGACTTGAAATTGACTGTATTTTATGCAATGTGGACATATAATTTGCAATTTTGGAAAAGGTTTGTATATAATCAGAGTATTTTTATGTTTCAGACCCTTGTTAAAAAGGGTCGAAACCTATTCTGGTTCTTCTGGCTATTAATTGTGTTTGTAATGTGTTAGCCTTCCTGATTAAATGGCTGCAGATTACCATAATGTGAGCATGTGTAACGATGCAGCTCCATGATTTGTTCCTGTTAGATACTTTTCTATGTACATATGTAAACATAATGATGTGCTACAATCAGAGCCTGTTTTCGAGAAAGATTATCAGTAGTACTTTCAAAATGTGTGGGTATTTTACTAAAGAAACAGGCAGAAATATTACTTAATCTTATCAGGCTATTTAAAAATGGGTTTTTTTGACACAGTGATGGAATAATGCAGTCTATAACTTGGGTTGTTCCTTGGGTTTCTGCTAAGGTTTGAGCAAAGAGACTGCACTGCCTTGGGGCTGTATCCTCTGTCTAATTTATGAGATAAAACTTTTGTCCAGAATGTTTACTCACCCAGATTAGGTGAGATAGTTTTAATTTCTGGTCCTTTTTCATGTGTTAGAATGTCAATTCTCACATAGTTAAGTGATTCCAGGATATGGCCTGTGAGAACAAAACCAGGTAGTGGGAGAAATGCAGTAGTTCTTCAGGAACTAGCAGTGTTGGAAGGATGGTGC